ATGAGGCCAAGCCCATCTGTAAGGAGTTGGGAATCAAAACTCAGGTTTGGCTCACATTTTTTCATGTTCTTTCCTAAGTAGCAGAAGTGTGATGGTTTGGTGCAGATACCCTTCAGAACTGACAGATATTCTGTAGCTTCTTGTGAGATATATGAAGTTGACCAGCCAGAGAAAAAGGCTATCACCTTATAAATTCAGTTTAGTTGGAGTCTATTGGTGAATGAATGGAGCAAATTTGTGGTGCATCTACTCTGGGCCAGGCATCATGCTAGGATTGAGTGAAGAAACAGATGATCCTTAGGTTGAAAATTAGTGGAACAAATAAGTTTCTTAAGTTCAGATAGATGAGACTATCCCAACTGACAACTATCTACTGTTAAAAGTTGGAATATAACAAACTAACATTATTCCATTTAAGAATCTATTTTGCTGAGCGTGGTGGCACATGCCTGTAATCCCAGCAGCTAGGGAGCTGAGCCAGGAGTATCTCGAGTTCAAAGTCAGCCTTAGCAAAAGCGAGAAACTATGCAACTCAGAGAGACCCTGTCTCTAAATAAAATACAAAAAAAGGCTGGGGATGTGGCTCAGTGGTTGAGTGCCCCTGAGTTCAATCCCCGGTACCCATTCCCCCAAAAAATATCTGTTTTACCATGTAAATGTTGTAGACAAATCCTAAATTTCAGCACCATTCGGTATTCTCTTTAGAGGTCCACTATAAAGTGGAAAGACCTACTTTGTTTTATACAAAATTTAGGGGGAAAACTTCATCCCTGGAAGCAAGAGACTGGTTTCCATCTTGGTTCTGACCCTTTCTAGCTATGTGTTTGGCCATGTTACTTCACCTCTATGAGCCTTAACTTCATCAGTAAAGTAAAGGTAATACAAGCATCACTGATCTGAAATTGACAATAATTTAAGATTTTGGAGCAGTTTAGATTTTGAGATTAGGGGATGCTCTGAAACACTTCTGGTTTCAAGCATTTTTATATAAGGGATACCCAATCTATGTATTTTCGTGCTATATTGGGAGGGAAGAATAAGAGCTTACACTAATGTACTCTAACATTATATTCGCTGTCAAGATGAAGAGGAAGAAAAGTAATAGGAAATGAAGAGCCCAAATCAAGAACCATAATCAAGAACCTCTTTGTGCCAAGCCAGTAAATTGCATCCTTAAGAAAGTCAGAAATAGCTGGTGGCACACCTGTAATCCCAGTGACTTGGGAGGTTGAGACAGGAGGATCTCGAATTCAAAGACAGCCTCAGCAAAAGCGAAGTACTAAGCCACTCAATGAGACACTATCTCTTAACTAAAATAAAAAATAGGGCTGGGAGGTGACTCAGTGGTCTAGTGCCCTTGATTTCAATCCCCAGTACCGCCCCCCACCCACAAAAAAAGGTCAGAGACATGTTGCAGAAGTTAGGGACAGCAAGAGGGCCCAGAAATTGTCCATTATTCCATTACAAGTCTAAGAGAGGACTGACTACTGTAGAAATGAAGATAATTTAAGGCACCTTCAAAAGAGAAGAAACTCTTTAAGAGAAGAAACAACCAGAGAGGTCCAGTCCTGAGTGGGACTTAGTGAATTCCTGTTGTGATCTTTCTGCTGCTAGATGTGTTCAAATGGAAGTTAAAAAGTATACAAGAGATCATTTTCTACATCAGAGATGAGATTGAGCTATTTAGATTTGGGCTATTTTTTCAATTTTAATTTATTATTTATTTATTTATTTATATTTTTTTTAAAGAGAGAGAATTTTTTTAATATTTATTTTTTAGTTTTTGGCAGACACAACATCTTTGTTTGTATGTGGTACTGAGGATCGAACCTGGCCGAACGCATGCCAGGCGAGGGCGCTACCGCCTGAGCCACATCCCCAGCCCTATTTATTTATTTATTTATTTATTTTTGTACCAGGGAGTGAATTCAGGGGCATTCGACCACTGAGCCACATCCCCAGCCCTTTTATTTTTTTTAATATTTATTTTTTAGTTTTAGGCGGACACAACATCTTTCTTTGTATGTGGTGCTGAGGATCAAACGCATGCCAGGCGAGTGCGCTACCGCTTGAGCCACATCCCCAGCCCGACACATCTTAATTTTATAGGATCAAATTTAGCGCCCCGCACACGCCAGGAGAGCGCGCTACCGCCTGAGCTACATCCCGAGCCCCATCTCCAGCCCTTTTAAAAACAAATATTTATTTTTTAGTTGTAGTTGGACACAATAGCTTTAATCTACTTATTTATGTGGTGCTGAGGATCGAACCCAGGGCCTCGCATGTCTGGTGAGCGCTCTACTGCTGAGCCACAACCCAGCGCCCCCAGCCCTTTTTTTTATATTTTATTTAGAGACAGGGACTCACTGAGTTGCTTAGCGCCTCATTTTTGCTGAAGCTGGCTTTGAACTCGAAATCCTCCTGTCTCAGCCTCCTGAGCCGCTGGGATTACAGGCGTGCGCAACCGGCCGGTTCAATTCTAATATTATTGATCTGTGTGGTGGATGAAAGAGGCCTGGGTCTCCTAGGTAAAAATTTCCTATCTCTCTCCGAGCGCAGAGTTATCGAACAGGTCAGCGTGAAAACCTGGTCCGCTATGGACCTGCCACGTAGATTTAAGTTTTGGGCTCAGTCTCCCTTCATAAAACAGAAAGTCTCAGCCTCTGGAGCCGCTGGGATTACAGGCGTGCCTTTAGAGGATTAGAGGAGGAGCCTTCGGGCCCTGTACAAAGTCTCCTAGTGACTCCAGAGAGGCCGCCAGATGGCGCCCTGGGTCTGACCACAAAGTCAACTTCCTTCCTCTTCCCCTAACTTCCCAGCAGTCGGCCCGGCTCCGGGCGCGGGACCGGAGGGTTGGGACCAGCCGGTTTCCCCTCGGGGTTCCCCAGCTTCAGAGGTAGCCACGCGTTAAGAGTAGCAAAAGCCCAGTACCAGCCGGGACTCTCGGCTGTCTAGGGCAAGCCTGGGCGGGTGAAGAGAACCGAGCCCCGTAGCCCTCGGCTGGGAGAGGTGCTAGGTCACCGGTCCTGGCAGGGGCTAGCCCTCCGGCCAGAGCTTGCACCAGGTGGGCAGTCACCCCTACTCCCCGCCCAGCCCAAACCTTTCCGCTCTGAGAGGCGCGCCTGGGTCGCTCTTGGTTGGCTGCGAGAGTCCCAGAGTTAAAACTTTCAGCCAATAAAAAGGTGCCAGAGGCGTGACGCACGGAAACGTCACGGGAATTCCCCCCTCCGGGGGGCGGAAAAGGGGCTTTCCCCGTTGGTGTCCTGGTAACTGGAGTAGTGTCTCCACCCGTCCGAGGCGGGTCGGACGCTAATAGTAGCCGGAACCAGAGTCGTCGCCACGGTGAGTGGCCGGGTTAAGACCCTTGGGTAGCTAGGATACCGGGGTGGGGGGGCCTGTGGGAGGAGGCAGGAGGGTAGGCCGTTAGGTGACCGAGTCCCAGATCTGGAGAGCAGCAGACGCATGCATCCAGAAAGCGCCGACGCAAACAAAACGCACAGGTACACGTCGACATCCTTGTTCAAACATACGCAGACCGGTACGTAATCTTGCACTTGTGCAGGCACGAATACAGCAGTGTCTTTACAGTCGAACTCGCGCACACATGCACAAGCATACATGCTCATCTGTGCACCAATGCCTGGACACACACACTTCATTCACAACCTCCTAAACATGTCATCCGTATCTTACACATCTAGCCATGCACTGACATTTACCTACACTGAGAAGCTCAGGAACTCACCTGTTTAGATATGCTCACTTGTACATGCATGTTGACACCCTGCACATAATATGAATCTGAGCATTTGGGCCGAAACACACTTGTATCCCTGTGATGGAGACACATACATGTAGTCCATATGGCTGTGCTGGGGTCGAAGATGTGCAGGGATCGGCCTGGGCACCAGGAACAAGTGCAGCTTGGGAATCTAGGCAGCTGAGACATTCGCGGAGAGGGAGAGAAACCTATCCCAAGGAGACACCTTTCCCATACCCTGCAGCCCAGAGTCACGTTCTCGGGGCAGTACCCTAGGGCCCCCAACTGGGAAGAACCCCCGCCTACAGGTCATTCGAAGAGGAGGCCTTCCGACAGCAGGAATGTCCCCCCAAAAGCCCCTGGGGTGAATCAGCCGTGGCCTCCCTCCTGGCAGAAAATCCCAAGGTTACTCCAAGCCAGAGGAGCGCGGGACGGGGTGGGGCGGACCTGGACTCAGACTGAGCCTCTCGGGCCGCGAAAGACCTTCTGTCCGCGGCGCCTGCCCTGGAGGGAGGAGGAGACCTAACCCCCATCAGGGGTTGCCCGGTTCTCGGTGCCCTTTGCAGGTGGACAGGCAGTCGGCGCCCACAGCCTGTGAGAGCCTCCAGCCCCTCCCGCCCCGGGGGCGGGACCATTGGCGTCATTTCCAGGCCCGCCCCCTCCGGCCCCGCCTCCTCTGGTATTTTCGGGACTTTCCTAAACTGCTCTAACTTTCTGCCCCTTCCCTGGCCAAGCCCAGCTCCGGATCTCGCTCTCCACCGGATCTTACCCGCCACACCCGGACAGGCGACCCGAGGAGATCGGACCCTCCCCCAAATCTGGGCACCCCTTTTCCTCCCACCCCTATCCTGATTTATTCCCTACCCTCCCACCTCTCATCCCTGTTTAATGTTAGTCTTCTTCTCATGCTTTTCATAACCTTTTCAGAAAAATTTAAAAAGAAAAAAAAAAAATTCCAAACCTTGGGAATGAGATGAACGTCCACATATAAGAGGTTTTCAGAAATCCCACTAGACTAGAACAAAGAAGAACCTTTCTTCAACATTCTAATTAAAGGGCCTAATATACCGAACAAGGATAGAATTTTAAAAGCCTCAAGAGGAAAATATCAGGTTACACTTAAAAGAAAGTTAAGCAGAA